CAACAAATACAAAAAACTTAGATTTTGTTGCAATTTTGTTATTTTGCAGATACAAACAACAAGAGGATTTGCGGTTAAAACAAACTTAATATTGTTTTATATATTGAACTAGTGGCTAACTTTATGTGTCATATCTAGAACAGTTGGGATTCTGAAGTATTCCCGGATATCCGAAATGATGGGGTTGGGGACGTTTTGGCGCCTTGCCGTCTTGGCGTGAGAACAAAAAAGTGGCACTTAGGCGGGACCTAATTTTATAAAAATTTTCTCAAACTTCTTTAACATCCTTGACTACCTCCTCTAGAAATTTCAGAATTTTTCATCAAAAATTTCTCAAGTTATAGTCGATAGACCTCGAAAAATTAGGCATTTTTTTTAGAAAATCAACATTTTTGGCCACAATTTCCGAAATTCTTGATCAAAAATTTTGAAATTTTTGGAGAATCTAGATAAAGGCATGAGAGTTATTATTACAAAATTTTATCTTTTTTGATAAGCAACTCACTGTTTTATAAGCTCGCGCCAAAACGTCCCATATGGTCTAGTGTTGATGGGTTTGGTGGATCTTGGGAAATCTCCTAATATATTCGGGTCCGATATTCTAACCGAAGTACTAGCGCACCTATTTTATCGCCATATTGTTCAACTAAAACTCTGATTTTATTTAATAAAAAAATTGTTTACAAAATTAATTTGTGTCTGCAAATATGTTTTTGGTTGTTGGTTGGTCATTAGGAAAATATGATATATTTTCAAAAAAAAATTTTTTTTTCTTTTTTTTGTTTTTGAAATAAATTTGTTATTTTTCAGAAAAATATTGTTTTGTTGAATTAAAAATTTTTTTTTTTATATTTTTTCAGGTTTTTCAGCTTAAAATTTTAACAATAACAACAATTCAAATAAAATGATTCGTTTAACAGAATTATTTTTATTTATTGGACTTTTGACACATATATTACTTACATTATTTACAAAAGTTGAAGAAAGTTTTAATACTCAAGCAATTCATGACTTTATTTATCATCGTAATAATTGGACTAAAGTTTGTGATTTTTTAAAATTTTTTTAAATTAAATTTTTTTTTAAATTTAAGTATGACCATAGAGAATTTCCTGGAGTTGTTGCTCGGTATATTTTTTTTATTTTTTTTCTAGTGGGTTATAAGAGGAGATTTCTCCACTTGAACCTCATTGTCAGATACCCTTTATATTAGGCTTACCTTAATTAGAAAATTTTTACTTTTTGTCTGGTCACTAGTAAAGGGAAGGTCCTGGGATGAACTGAAACAGAGGATTGAAGTGAAGAAATGAAAGTAAGGCCTGAACGGAAGGACTGAAGAGAAAGGAGGGGAAAATGGATGGAAGAAAAAAAGACGGAAGAACAGGAAAAATATAACATTGAAAAGGGTCTTCACTATAAGATAACCCTCATACTTTAAGATTTTTAAGCCCCACGAGGGATATTCTAACAGGTTTTTTATACATATTTATATATTTTTTTTAATTTTAGTACATTTGTTGGACCATTAGCTATTGCTACTTTAATTTCTCCTTTTGTACCGATAATTAAATATTTTGGATTAAATAAAATTTGGATGTTATTTGCAGGTTTTTTTTCTTATTTTTTGAATTTTTTTTATTAAAATTCTTATATTTTTTCAGCCCGTACAGCTTTAGGAATGGCTGTATTGACTTCTTTTTGTTGTTTCTGCCGTTGTGTTGAAACACGCTTTGGAAAGCGTGTGGCTCTTTACTTGCGACTTTTTACTCTTTCACAATTCCATTTTTTGTTTTATGCATCTAGACCACTTCCAAATATTTTTGCATTGTTTTTTGGTATATTTTAAAATTTATTTTTGGGTTTTTTTTCTTTTTGAATTCATGTTAGGAAAAGGGCGGGGTATGGGCTTTCTTTTGCATTCCGTTTTTAAGATGTGGGAGTGCCCATTTGTGATGTAAACATTGTTTTGAGTTAGTTGGGTTGGTTTCTAGTCGTGTTTTCAAAATTATTAATCGGATGGGGTCGAACCTTGTCATGATCAGAGACCTATTTCTAGTATATTATTTTTAAAATTTTATTCCATTTTTAAAGTTTTAATTGTCTATCAAAAATGGATTGAAAACAGAATTATTCCGTTCACTTTCTGGTCAACAATAGCAATATTTTTGTTCCGTTTTGAATTAATTTTATTATTTGGTCCAATGTTTGGTTATTTTATTGTTACAAAATTTAAAAGGATTTTGACTGTTGGATATGTTGGATTTGTTACACTTTTCTTTGTTTTGTGTAAGAATTTTAAGAAATTTTCAGAAAATTTTTTTAACGTTGAAGGTACTTCTGTCCCTTTTGACTCATTTATGTGGGGAAGACCAGTTTGGCCTGAATTGGAAGTTATGGAATTTAATATCGTTAAAAATAAAAGCCATGAATATGGGGTATTTTTTTAATTTTTTATTTTTTTAAATTTTAAAGTTGGGGAAGGGGGTGGGGTTGGATGGTTTTTTTAGTTCGCAAGTTTTTCCGAAGGTTGTAGTATTTTCTTGATATTTAATTTAAAAAATTTTTTTGGATTTTTTGAGGGCATTAAGGACGTTCAACGATTTCCTACGTGTCCAAATAACCCTGCAAAAAATTTAATTAGATAGTTAATAAAAAAATTTTTCAGTCTTAAACCTATTTAAGTGTCCAAAATAATCCCAAAAAATTTTTTTAAATTTGCGAATAATTTGTAAATAAAATTTTTTGCTGTCTTTTGGGAAGCATAACTTTCTAAATAGAACTCCAAAAAAGGTTTTTTTTAATTATTTAATTTAATATTATTTTTTTAAATTTAATTATTTAAAGGTAATGCCATTTTGGTGGTATTTTACTTCAGCAATTCCTCGTGCTTTACTTTTAACAACTTTATTAGTTCCTCTATCTATTTTTGCTTGTCAAAAAAATCAACGTTTAATAATTCAAACAATAATTCCGGCATGTATATTTTTGTTTTTATTTTCTTTTTTGCCACATAAAGAATTGAGATTTGTTATTTATGTTATTCCTTTAATGAATTTATCTGCTGCTTTCTTTTGTGATTATGTGTAAGTTTGGAATTATTTTTTTTTGGGGAAGGAGGGGGGCCTTTAACCAGGACTTCTTTTTTTGGTTATAGGAGACTTCTTTGGTTGTTTGATTTTTTTAACAAAGGGATATATGGAGGGATTTTATTGTCTTTCATTCTTTTTTAAGGTTTTTGAGATTTTTTATTCATATTCATAAGTGTCCAAAATGGCACTAACGATTTTTAAGAATCTCGAAAAATAAGGTTCCATTGGGAAATAATCTCTCTTTTGATTATGTGTAAGTTTGGAACTCTTCTGGGCTAAATATTGGACAGAAATCCAGAGCTATGATTTTTCCTGGACTCTGGCCTGGATTTAGTCCCATGACTAAGTTTGGGACAGAAAAATATTTTTTTTTCAAATTTCTTTTTAATTAAAAAAATTTTTTTTCATCTAGATGGAGACGTACCAGTACTTTTTATTCAATAATTTCGCCATTTATAATTTTTCATATATTCATAAATTGTTTATTGACTAGCCAATTTGTGAATGTTAGCGTTAAAAATTATCCTGGTGCTGATGCTCTTGTAAATCTTCAGGTTTTTTTTTGGAATTTTTTAGGAAAAAATTTTGAAAATTTAAGTCAATAAATAAAGAAATGGGTACAGAACACGTATCTGTTCACATTGACAATTATTGTGCTGAAACTGGAATTAGCAGATTTGTACAATTATATGATGCGTGGGAGTAAGTTGGAAAATTTTTTTTGAAAAAATTTTTGGAAATTTTTAGAAAATTTTTGAAAAATTTTTTTTTAATTTTCTGAATTTTTCAAAAAAGAATTTTTTGAAAAATTTTGAATTTTTTTAAAAAAATTTTCTGAATTTTGTCTGAAAAATTTTTTTGATTTCTTCGAAAATTTTCAAGAAATTTTTTGAAATTTTCAATTTTTTTTCAAAATTTTAAATTTTAGATATAACAAAACAGAAAATCTGTCACCTAAAGAATTACAACGTTTTGACTTTCTCATGTTTGGAATTGACAACAAAAATGCATTTTTAAACGACTCGAAGAACTACAACATGACTATTAAACATGAAGAATATTTAATTATTGATGGGTTTGATAAGGTTTGTTTGTATTTTATTTTTTGTATTTTCTTTTCTGGAAAGATTTTATTTAATTTTTCTCTTTAGAAATTCTGATTTTTTGTATTTTCCGGAAATTATCTGTAAAATAATTTTTTGGTGTAGTGAGATAATTTTTAGTTTTCCCCTTATAGGGGTCATGGGTTCGAACCCCACTTGGGGGAAATATTTTTTAATTTCCTAACAAAATTTTTTCGTGGATTCTCCTTTGTATATTCTTTCAAAAAATTATTTTTTTATAATTAATTTCCTATATTTATTTAGATTTCGTGGCAAGAATTTCCTTTTCCTCCATGGTGGCCTAAAATCTTTTCAAGTGTGCCTTATCCAACGTTTAATCCAAAAGTTGTTGTCTTGAGACGGATTCAAACTTAAATAAGTAAAAGAAATTGCAAGGGTATTAAATAAATTTATTTTTAATTTTTAAGTTTTATTTATGACCAAATATAAAAATTTAGTGACTTATAGTATTTATATATTTTTAAATTAGAGATCGAGCTGTGGGTTTAGACAATAACTTGAGATTTTACCCAGAATCAAACATTAAAAAAATTTTCTAAGGTGGTTTTTCCTAAATTAGAGGATTAGGATCTGGTGGAAAAGGATTTCTTTCAATGAAAAAATTTTTTTAAAGAAATCTCGATCTCTAAAAAAAATTTTTTACATTCCAAAAAAAATACTATACATGTATATTTTTAAAATTTTTTTTACTAATTTAAATATAAATTTCTAAATAAATAAAAATTTAACAACAAAAATAAAGTCAAAAAAATGTCACAATAAAATCAAAAAAATACCCAAAATTAATTTACCAAATTGCTTCAGTTGATTTGTAAAATTCTGATTTATTTGAATGTTTTGTTCTACTAATATCCCCAACTTCATCAATATTTTTTAACAATTTATCAAGCATTTCTTTTGTATGTGCAGCAGAAATACAAATACGAACACGGCTTTGGGTCATTTCTGTTGCTGGAAATGATACAACAACCTGAAAGGGGTTGGTTATTATTTAGAGAAATTAAAAGGAAAATAGTTAGGGAGATAAACGCTTTCCGGAAAAAAATCAGAATTTTTAAATTCCGGAAAGAGGAAAAATACATTTTTATTAAATTATTTGTGTTTTCCGGAATTCAGAATAAAATCAGAATTTTTAAAAATACAACCTTTCCGGAAAAATACATATTAAAAATAAATTCTGATTTGTTTTCCGGAAAGAAAGGGGAAAAATACATTTTTATTAAATTATTTGTATTTTCCGGAATTTAATAAATCAGAATAAAATAAAAACTTCCGGAAAAGAAAAATACATATAAAAATAAATTCTGATTTTTATTTAAATGTATTTTTCCGGAAATTTATTCTTTAAAATAAATATCAGAATTTTCAAATCAGAATTTTCAAATCAGAATTTATTTAATTAACACTTACCACACCAATTTTACGTTCCAACATTAAACGTCCCCAAAGGCTTTAATAAAAAAATTAAAATTAATTTAAAAAATTTTTTTTAATTAATTTACCCGCATTTTGTTGGATGATAAATCATAATAGGAATAACAGGAGAATGATTAGAACCATAAACAATAAATCCCAATTGTTTTAATTTTAGACGAACATAATTGGTGTTTCTAGCCAATTGTTCAATTCTTTTTTGTCCTTCACCAGTCCCGTCTTTACCCATAATTGAAGACATTGCTGTAAATATTTGTTTGGCAATTGGTGGTGACATTGGTATTGTGTAGAATTCACCAGGAGAATTTTGGCGAATGTGGGAAATTAAAGCCTAAGAAAAAAATATTTTTGGTGTAGTGGGATAATTTTTAGTTTTCCCTATATAAGGGTTGTGGGTTCGAACCCCGCTTGGGGGAAATATTTTTTATTTTCTTAAAAATAATTTTTCGAACCTTACTACCCGCAATATAACCACCAGCAGCTCCAAAACTTTTTGTAAATGTCCCCATAAAAATATCAACGTCTTTAGAATCACAATTATAATATTCAACAATTCCGCGTCCTGTTTTTCCCATTGCACCTTTAAAAAATTTTTGGAAGGTTTTCCATCCAAAAATATTTTTAAAGAAAATAAAAAATATTTCCTCGAGTGTGGTTCGAACCCATGTCCCCTATACTTAAAAAATGTTTTTTTGGTGTAGTGGGATAATTTTTAATTTTGCCTGTTTAGGGGTCGTGGGTTCGAACCCTCTTGGGGGAAATATTTTTTATTTTCTTTAAAAATATTTTAAAAAGAAAACCTATGCTGTGTGCCTCATCCAAATATAAATAAAATTTATATTTTTTCTTTAATTTAATAATTTCATCCAATTTACAAATTGTTCCTTCCATTGAATATATTCCTTCAATAATAACCATTATTTTAGAGAAAGGTTTTCCTTCCTTTTTAGTATTTCCAAAAATAATTGATTGTCTCAATACTTTTTCCAAATCTTGAATATTATTATGCTTAAATATTTTTATTGTAGCTCCAGATATTCTTGAACCAAGAATTAAAGAAGCATGGTTATATTGGTCAGAAATTATTAAGGAATCCTGTCAAAATGAATTATTTGAAAAAATTATTTTAGAAATATTTGCGGATTTTGTGAATTTCTCGGGAAGGGATTTTGGGAAAAATTTGGGACCTTCTTTGGGAAAAATTTTTTTAAACATAGGCTAGAGTCGATAAATTGAGAATGATTTTCTCTTTAAAAAATGCCGGAAAAATTGCGGACAAAATTTTGGAAAGGTTTGGAAGGTTTCGGAAAGGTTTGGAATTTTTTTGAATTAAATTTTTAAAAATACCTTATCCATTAAACAGGTCAAATTCATCGAATTTGTAGCAAATCCCATTCCAAAACATATGGCAGATTCAACTCCAATAAATTCAGCAACCAAATTCTCTAATTCAGTTTGAGCTAAAGGTTGACCTTTAAAAGAATTTTTTAAAAAATTAATTTTAAAATTTTAAAAAACCTAATTCACGAATGCTGGCACATGAAGAAATCCCTTGGTCATTAATTATGTTGGCTGAAGCTGTGGCACAAGGTCCTTTATTTTCGGCAAATCCAAGGTAATTATAAGAGGCAGTGTTGATAACTTCTGTTTGTGTCCC